TGGGAACATATTAATCCATTTCTGTTTTATTTCTTCATTTGATACTATTTTTTGTTTGTTGTTATAATCTAATACTATATAAGAAACTAATTCAAGTTTTTCAGCAAATGTAAGTGTAAATGTTTTACTTGACAAAGGTAATAAAATACTTTGAATTTTAGTTAATAAATTGATCTTTTCATTGTTTTTTAAAATTATAATACCCATTCCAATAACTGAATAACATTTAACTTGTTTTACTTTTATATTGTAACACTTATCAAGACGTGAACGAATTGCTTCTTCAAGTATTTCATCAGGTGTATTATGTGGTAAATCAATAATATACACTTTTTCATCTTTATCATCGTCTCTGATAGTTTGAGGAATTGAACATATATGAGATGCTCCAGATATGGGTTTATTTTCAGGATAAGGAGAGACTTGTTCATTTGTAGGAATAATATTACATTGTTCATAGGATGATTGCTGAGATATATAATTACTATCGGTAGTAATATTGTTAGTATATTCATTTTGTTTGTCAGAAACACTTTTCTCTTTTGTTTGACTGTTAACTTTTCTATCATGTTGTTCAACTGACATTTGTTTGTTTCTTGAATCTGGAGACTTGTTATCGATGTAGATGTTATTAGCTGATTGTAACGCTTCTGGTTGTTTTCCATCATTACACATAACACATATCCTATCATTTATTGAATTTATATATGTACATTCACTACAACCCCATTCTATTAACTGTTGATGTTTTGATTCGTATTTTTCGTGTATTCGTGTTTTTTCAGGAACATAACATTCAATGGAACAAGCATTGTCGGTAGAAATAGCTGTATTATTGATTGATGGTTGTACGTTTATTTCTTCCGTAATATCTGAAGCTGATACCTTAACGGGCGCGTCTATTCCTGAAAAAGCTCGACTAGCACCACATACTTCACATATATTGATAGAAGGTGCATTTTCAAGTGTACATTTACCACAAGTCCAATTTACCTCACTTGTAATAATTGTAGTATTTTCATATTGTTTTTTATCATCGGAGTTATTGCTATTTGTGTTAGAGTTGTATATATCTTGTTGTTTGATTGAATCTTTATCTATTAAGTCATTATTCTTATTATATTCTGCTTGTAACGACTGAGATTGTTTACCTATTCCGCACATTATACATAGTTTGTAGTCTGTTGAATTTATGTATGAACATTGAACACAAGGCCATTCTAAAGTCTTCTGATGTTTAGAAGAATCAGGATGATCGATACCAGTTGCCTAAATAAACAATATGGATATCAGTAACCTGTTATTTTAATATTAGTACTTTTATAAATACCTACATAAGTCAAAAAAACCTCAATAAACTACAGACAAACGTTTGCACTAACAAATACTGCAACAAATCTAGAGACAAAATTCAACTTTAAATTTCTGTTGACGCAGAAGATAACAAATGACGGAGTAAAAAATCTCTCAAAATTGCTGAAAGTATGGAAAAAAATGCGTTTCAAACACGGATCAAGCATGACTTTTAAAGAAGTTACTCCCAAGTTTTACAAAAACATAGATGTAACTCTTACCACTTGTTAGTATTTCAACGATAACGCCGAAACGATATATCCGATATTTTTGAGCAATAGCTCATTTGAAAATGAATTAAAAGCTGAATAAAGTGACATATCAGAACAGTTTTACAGATCCAACCTTGAGGTACTATGATCAAATTATTCTCAAAAGGCATCATTAAAAAACATGATTTTTCACATAAATCATCATAAAAATTTTCTTTTAAACGATCTCACAAAATAAATTTCTTCATTTTGTGAAGCAATGAATTTTCAATAAATAATATAAAATGAACAAAAAAAACTCTGGAAAAAGTTTCGATACCTAACCAAAAATGTAAAAATATTTCAGTGAAGTGCATATGCTATAATAATTTGATATTTTTCACCTCACCCAAGAAAACGTCCACTGTGCTACAGGGGGCTGCGCTTCTCGGCCTCTACCCCCAACTCCACACCCTCTTCCTCACAAGGAAACCTGATAAACCCATAAATCCCGTGAAAATGTAAAATCGGTAAACTTGTAAGCCCGGTAAACTCGAAGAACAAAAAATATCATTGGATATAATAAGTTCATTACTGTGTTATATTACATTTCATGGATTTTTACATTGCGACTTTACATTATCTTCTACTTGTTTGGCTTTACAAATTGTAATTCTAAACCTTCGTCTCTATCTTTTTTCGCTTTCTACTTTGTTGATTTTTGAGGAACGCATCTACTATCCGTACCAAATGGTCGTGCAGTCGGTTGCTTTTTGAATAGCTCCTCACGGGAGATAGATAATGAAGTGCGGTTTTCAGCATTAGAAAGAGGACACTTTAAGACATCGT